GGCAAATTCTGCATATTTCTTCTCTAAGACTCTAAGTCTTAAGGGAGCCTGGAATGGTGCACACCTGCAATGCCAGCACATTGAGGCTGAGACAGGAGGTTACTAAATTTGAGCCCAACATAACCAATTTATTTAGCCCTTATCTCAAAATTAAAAAAAAAAAAAATGAAAGAAAAAGGTTGCCTAGGTAGCCCGGGAGAAAGCGCGTTCAATCCCCAGGTACCAAAAGAAAAAAAGGCTTAAGGGTTAAACAGTGCACCTTTAGTGTAACGGAGATGGAAGAAGGTATGAATGCGCCTTTGCATTTGCCTCTTCACGACCTGGGAGTGAAGATAGACCTAGTCTGCTGGCGGCTTCGGGCTTTCAGGTCCCCCGGGGCCCCTCACAGGCCGGGAAACTCCTGCCACCCGCCACGGGAGAGGCCACGGACCACGGCGGGCGAAGCTCTGCCCTTCCCGCTCCCCACGCGAGCCGAAGGAGCGGGGGACCCGGCCAGCAGGAGCCGCTTCCCGCGCGCTGCTGCTGCTCCGCAGCCGGGGGCGGTCCTTTGCTCGGGTTTGTCGCAGGCCAGCTCCTAGGCTGCGGCCCCCAGCGCGGCCGGCAGGGGCGCTGCGGGGCCCGCGCCCGGGGCTCGGCCGGAGCTCAGCTTCAGGCTCCGGCGTCTCTTCCGCGCCGCTGGGTCCGGCCCCTGCCAGCCGGTCACCCCTCAATCCGGGGGCTGAGTGGGACCCCACGAGTGGTACCCCTCTCCACGCCGGGCGAGTCGGGCCTCAGATCTCTTGCAGTCTGCAGCCCCCCGCCCTCGGCCGCGGCCGCAGCTCCGCAGAGGGCTCAGTGCACCCTCCCGCCGGTCCTCGGAAAGCGACAGGTAAATGGGCGCCGTGGCTCACGGTGCGCACGGGAGGCCACGCGGGAGCGCGACCAGGTCTAATGCGAGGCCTGCAGCGGTCGATGCATCCAGCTTTTGAAGGTGGGATGAGTTCAAATGTGCGTATAACGACGATTGTCAAATACACTGATCATTTACAACAGAACCTACTAACACATCCCTTTTAGGTACAGATAAATGACTGATAAGTGACAAACAGGTAAGAAGTGCTTGAGGTAATAACGTGAATATGGGTTTATAGTATCCAGTGCTTTTTGGCTAAAAACGAATAGAACAAGTTTTCTAAATGATTCAAGAAAATGTAAAATACAGATTCAACTCCAACACATTCCTTTTACTTGAAAAATGCAGTTTATCTAAAGGTAATGTTCTTCAGCCTATCTGGCCACAGCCTAATTCACACACAGCTAGAACAGGTAGGGAACAGTGCATGTTTGCGGCCCACAGGGATAGTTAGTGTTTCCTACCCTCCCTCTGCCTTGCTCTCCTGAGATTCTCCCCCAGGAGCCAGGCAGTTTTAGAAACAGACAAGATCTTTAAGTGTGAAGCCAGGCTTGTGTGTGCCTGCAATCCCAGCACCGTGGGAGGCTGGGCCAGGAGGATGCAAATTTGAGCTACATCTGCAAAATTTGGGGATTTCAGGAGACCCTGGAGGCTGAGCTGTAGCTCAGTATGAAGGCCTTGAGTTCAAACCCCAGTACAGCAAAACAGAAAAAACCTTTAAGTGAAAATGGTTATAAATTCCCCCATCTTTCCACAATATACCAGCATTCAGAACATTTCACCATAGGCTAATATATCCATGTCTAATACCCAATTCTGTCCCTAATTTCTATAAATATAAAATAGTAGAAGACAGGGGGAAAAAGTCACAAGAACTTATCTGAGGCTTATAGTGCTTTTGGGGGCAGGAGGACAGGGGTTGCTGGGACTGAACCCAGGGCCTTCGTACTGAACTACATTCCCAGCCATTATCATTATTATTACTATTATTAAGGGATTCTTGCTCAGTTGTTATGTAGCATAGGTGGTGCTTGAAATTTTGATCCTTCGGATTCAGCCTCCCAGAGTGTTAGAGTTACAGTTGCCTCCCCTTTGTCTCTTTGATAATCCCTGGAGAGAATTTTAAACCACCATTACATCCTTTGTTTTGTTTTGATTTTGGTTTTTGGTTTTTGAAACCGTCTTGCCATGCAGTTCAGGCTGCTCTTGAACTCACGTAGCCCAGGCTGGCCTCCTACTTGTAGTGATCCTTCTGCGTCAGCCTCCTGAGTGTTGGGATTGCAGGCCTGTGCCGCCCGCCACACCCGGCCTGGGCGGTGCCTCCTTGATGGGAGGTGGCTGAAGGATACATTTCTGTGGGAAACTTGGAGTTTGGTGAGTGGGATGGAGTAGGTGGGAAGGGGAGCAGCCTTGGACACTTAGAGAAGGTGGGTTGTCGGGTAGGTCACTGCTACCCAAGAGTGTCTGGAAGCTGATGATCCAGAGTTTGGTTGCCACTGTACCCACTAAGTTGTCTCTGTGGGTTCAAATACCCCAGGAAGACCCCTCAGTTGGTCAGCACAGCAGCGTGTGCAGGACAGTAAGGAGTGGTGATGATTACAGAGTAACCTGGTCATAAGTCTTTGTCATTATTGAGTCAACTCCTGCTGATTCTTTTTTTTTCTACCAGTAAGACTGCCACTTGCATTTTGCTTCTAAATGGTAACTAGTGAAATTCCAAATCCTGGCCTTAAAAATGAAAGACTGTAATTCACAGAAATACAGTAAGAAACAAATGAGGATGCTTCCTCTCCTTTCCAGCTAGAGGGAGTGAGGACATTTTGCATCATATACCAGTTCAGAAAAATGTAATTGGGTAAGGAATTAGGCTAAGGTCCTGCACCTGCTGTCCTGTACCAGCGGCAGCATATGTGCACTTTTTTTTTTTTTTGCCTTTGTGAACTTGTTCTGTTCTCTGTCAAATGAAATGTATCTCTAAAAGTATTTGGACAAAGAGGTTTTGTAAATATCTAAGGAGTTTATAAATTGTCGCTGGGTTCTCTGAAAGCAGATAGTGACACAGACTTTGAGAAGCAGATGTTCCTGAGGAGCTAACACTGAAAGGAAGGGTGAGGTAGGCCCAGACAGAGAAAAGTTAGAGCCCAGGATGAAGCCTCTGAGACTTCCAACAAACTGCAGCGCTCTGGGGAGACGTGGCAGGCTGGAATGGCCTTGAGGGCTAAGAGGCTGTCTGTTCAGGCTCAGGGGCAGGGGGCCCAGGTCGGTGTGTCTTGGAGGGAAGTAGCTGAGGGGACCCGGAGGTGTGGGCAGCTGGCCATGGTCTGCTGAGCATGCTTGGTGCAGCAGTCCAGGTCCTTTCTTGGAAAGGGTTCGGCTACCACTGCGCCCTCCTCCCCTGCCATTCGCATCCACTTACTTCCCTATAGATGCTTGGGAAGCTCTTCTTCCAGAACTCCACTGGGTTTATTTTTCTGGACAGGAAATAAAAAATGTGGTTTAGTTGGACATAGTGGTGCATGCCTGTAATCCCAGCAGTCTGGGAAGCTGAGGCAGAAGGCTTGCAAGGGAAGGGCAAATCAGTGGGTGAGCAAGACTCTGAAAATAGGGGGCCTGCCCCTTAGCTCAGTTCTTTAAGTGGCTGCTGCAACAGAGCAGTCAGGCTCAGGTTGCTGTGGTTCGATCCCCACAACTCAAGCCAGCCAAACCTGCCCTGAAGGCATTTGGAGAAAAAAAAATCCTTCTGCCTTTTTGGGGCTGGGATATATAACTCAGCAGCATAAGTGCCTACTTGGCAAGCACAAGGTCCTGTGTTCAATCCCTGGTACTACCACAAAAAAAAAAGACTCTGAAAATAAAAGGTACAAAAGGGCTGGGGATATAGCCCAGTGTGAAGGCCTTAGATTAATTCCTAGTACTGCAGATACATAAATTAAAAAGTATTTAAAAGACTGAGGCTGTAGACTGGTGCAAAAAAGCCTCTAGGTTTAACTTTCAATACAAAAAAAAAAAAAAAAAAAAAAAAAGTCAGTGGGATAAACCACAGCTCCTGTTGCTGCCCTTGGCCTCAGGTCCCAATTACTACTGACTACTGCTCAGGGACTGCTGCTGGTACAGCCCAGCCCCCAAGGGCACAGGTGCCCAGGTACTAAGCCTTTCTAAGTCTGCATACACTGTCCTGTCTGTCTGAAGTCACCAGTGAGCAAGAGAGTAACGTGAACATTGAGGTGGGTTATGTTGTTGCAGATATACTCCTCTTTCCAACTATTGTGTAACAGCTGTAGGTCTCTCCTGCTGCTCAGGATCTGGCATCCTTGCTGACGTAGGACTCCTCTTGCAGGACTCCTCCCTGGATGCCAGTAGACCAGAGTAGTCACCTATCATGCAAAGGGTTGTGGTCTGTGAGACTCATGCTGCGTCGTGCCTCCTGAGGAGACTCAGAGCTCTAGCCCCCCTTAGCTCAGCATTGCAGGGATGGGAGGCACCAAGCCCCTGCTGGGTCATCGGGAGTGAAAGAATGTGGGAATATGATCCCCTCTCCAGTTCTTGGAGGTAAATTCTATATTCTTCTTTCCCTTCTCGCCCCTGACCCCCATCCTTCTGGTCTCCTTGAAGCCGAGCCCCCCACAGTGGTGTTTGAGCCCTCCCTTCCTCTGTCTCCCTTCTCATTTTTTGTCTTAATATTGTCTGCATATGTATACACTCATATACATATTTTTACCCCCCCTTTTTTTTTTTTTTTTACCCTGCTCTTGGAAATACACCAGTTTTCAAATTAGTAGAATAATCTGACTTGATTTTTAAATTTTTTTTCACTTCCAAATTTTTGAAGATTTCTTTAGAGTAGGTCTCATTTTAAATTATCTCTGATTATTGAATTTCTACCTTTGTCTTGACTGAAGTCAGCTTTATTTAAGATTATAAGCTACGGAACCCACAGTTCTTGTGACATTCAACTTTCAGATGTTTATGTTGCAGGGCCACCATAGAGAGGAAGAGGCAAGGGCTGTCCCTTGATCTGTGGTCACCCTCTGGGCACTTCCTCTCTCCTTGCTGGGACTTCGGTGTATCTCGTCTCACTGTGGTTCCTGTTCCTGATACTTCACTTCTTCTAAATGTCTTTTGGATCGTCCGAAGTTACTTCCTCTCCATGTTCAGAAGCCGAAGAGATTTCTAAATTCCACTTTTTCTTTTTTGGCAGTTCTTTATATATTCTCGCACAGAGAACAGTATCCACCAAAAATATTGCACCCATTGGCAGATAGAAAAGGATGTGAAGCCGAGCAGAAAGTGTTGACGGGGGGCCTGAAGCAGAAAAAGACAAAGAGCAGAGATACTGTTCAGACACCAGAAGGATCTGGCTGAGTCTTGTTTGGAATGAGATTGACTTAGGCCTAGTGTGCTTGTCCCCACGGGGCACTGGCAAGTTTGGGACCAAGGGAACTGGAGGGAGCTCCAGCTAGGCTCTATGGTGTCCACAGAGGGACAAACTCCTTGGAAGAATTTAACTACTGGGAACCTGGCAGTGGCCTTAACTCCTTATTTACAGAGACCACTGCTGTTTCTATGCTATTTAATACTTCGACTGATGTTTAACTCTCTTTTTTTTTCCTGAAGAGTCTTTTCTCCTGAGCTCCTCATCCCTCTATCTCGGTTAAACAGACACTTGGGAGGTACTTAAGTGCTGTCTACAGAATGACTCTGTTATAAATCCACCATATGACTCAAAAACTGCACCCCAGTGCCTGTATCCCCAAACCCCTGAGTGGTACACAGGAGAAGCTCCATATATTCTAGTGAGATGGTTGCCGAAGGTCAGAGGGGCACGGGGATAGAGAAGTGAAGGAGACGGGAAAAGAGTGCCAGCAGTGAGAACAGAAGATGAAGGAGAAGAAAGGCAGAACGGAGGGAAGCAGAAATGAGATGAAGGGGAGGAAAAGAAAAGGAAAGAGAGCAAACTTAATGAAGTCTGTGAGGAGTGTTTTAAAGTTCTCCACCACTGGTGGGAAGGCCCTACCCTAGGCTTTTCCTGAAGAAGCGTCCTCCCCCTGGCTGGGCTGTCAAACCTCTGGGCCAGCCTCAGCTGCATGGCAGAAACAGCCCCTTCTCCTTTGCCTACTGCTTCTAATCCTCCTCACTCACCGTACAGTTGAAGCTCCAACATGGGGCTGCGCTTAAGGACTTTTCCATCTTCTGTGGCCGCCTCACACCAGTATGATCCAGAATTTTCTTTTCTGAAAGTTATAATCTGGTACTCTGAGGATGTGTTCCTGCCCCTCAGAGTCATGTTGCCCGTGTGGAAGGAGAAGTAAAGCTGCAAGCCAAGCCTCTGTGGGGGCACCTTTGTTTCACAGCTCAGCTTGACCAGCTGCTTTTTCCAGAGCGGGGATGACAAGGGTGATCTCAGCACTGGAGCTGGAAATAGCTCTAAACAGGAAGTTGATGGGGGCCAGGATTGCCTGCTTCAGTGTCAAGGTTCTTTTCATAGGAGACACACCCTCTCCCACCTTCCAGACCTGTCCCCTGAAAATGGTATCCATAGACATAATTTTTCCCACTTAAATGAGAGTCATTGTTGGGGTTTCCAAACAGACGTAATCAAGACTACCAGCTTACTTGCATCCCTAGAGGAGGGTTTCTGTGTATGGCTCAGGCTTCCCTGCATGGTCATGTTATTATGTCACCACACCCTCTTGGTGATGCTCTAGCCAGAGTAGGCACCAGCACACATCCTTGCCAATTCAGTGATTCCTTACTTGTGTTCCTCACTCTAAAGATAAACTGAGAGTAATTTCTTTCTCACAGGAACGAACTTCTTTTTCTCAGAGAGAAAGACATTAGTTGTGATGTGAGTGCTAAGAAGAAAAAGACCATGAAATGTCACAGCAGGGCCGGCCACATAGCTCAGAGGATTAAAGCGCCTGCTTAGGCAGATGCAGGGACTGGGGCAACTGAGACTGGGTGTGCTGGCGCACACCTGTAATCCCAGCACTTGGGAGGCTGAGAACAGGAGGATCACTATGAGTCCGCTAGTGAGACCCTGTAGACCGTGTACTAAATGCATAAAAAAAATTCACAGCAAGGGTCATATGCAAATTAGAACAGGGGAAGCTGCTCAGTTTGCAGATGCTTACAGAAGTAGGACCAGAAAGGCTACACTGTCCTTGAGAGACAGATGGAAAGTTTAACCAGCTCCTAGTGTCTTTCTGGTTTCCACTTCCATGCACCATGAAATTCTATTGGATTATTTTCTGACAACTCTTCTAGTTACCTTGAGGAAGTCTCTGTTCTTTGCAACTAAAATCAAGTTGGCGAAATGGATCTTCATTATGTCCTGCCTTTGAGTTTCTTTCCTGTGATTATTGATAGGACATAGTGGTGTACTGGAAAGGGCAATGGCTAGGCACCCGTTTATTACAGCAATTTATCTCTCTAGAGCTGTTTCTTCACTTATAAATTGAAATGAAGATTTAGATGACTTATGCTGGTTGTGTTAATTCTTACAACTATAGCTCTACCACTAGATACAGTACCTTTCACGGTCACAGCTACTCCTGTTGATGTGAAGATGTGAGGTGGTTTTCCCTTGCCTGAGCAGTGATAGACGCCACTGTGATTCATGCTGGTTTTCAGAATAGTGAGTGCAGAATTCTGATAAGTAAACCTAATTGGTTTTCCATTTTGATAGAAAACCACATTGTATATCAGCTTATTCTTCCATCCATGACACCTCAAGGTCAAAGGTTCTCCTTCAGTGAGGACTCTGCTAGAAGACTGAAGTAGCAGCCAAGCTGAAAAACATGGACCCAGAACGTATGAGAACAGTGCAGTTCCTAGTTGACCACCAGCAAGAAAATGGAGACCTCAGTTCTATAAACACAAAGAAGCAAGCTCTGCCAATGATCTTGGAAAAGGGCCCCAAAGGAGCACAGTCCCATCAACACGCTGATACGGGAGCCTTTGCAAGACACTAAGTGGAGCACGCAGCTGAGCTGTGGGGACTCCCAACCGAAGGAAACTGGGACATTTTTAAGCTGTTAAACCCTTGGTAATTTGTTACACTAGAATAAAAAAACCAAATGTATTCCTAACTTCTGAAAACTTTGTTAGTAGGATGACATATTTTAAGACAAACATACAAAATAGCAACCATACCCAGATGTGTGTGTCCTACAAAATTGGTAGGCGTACCACACACAATATCATCAGCAAAAACAAATGTGAGGTCAAGTGCTCTGCACATAACCAAAAACATCTCCTCTAGTTTTTTTCCCCTGGGACTATTGTTTAGACAACTTAAGAGTAGGTTTCCAGGGAAGTGAGCAGACGAGGCGGCAGGGCTTTTCACACCTTGGAATTCTCATATCTAAAAATGAAAGGCCAGTGTAACAAAGCTACACATAGGGTAATTTTTATAGTCTACAATACTACATGTCACAAAGGCAAGCCACAGAATGTTAGACTATATTTGCAATACTTGAAAAAAGACTCATTTAGATATATAAATAACTTCTGCAAGTCAATAAGAAAAAGATAATACAAAAATTGGCACTAAAAAAAAAAAATCTGGGGCCCGGGGAAATAGCTCAGTAGAATAAGTGCTTGCCTGGCAAGCACAGGGTCCTGAGTTCAATCCCTGGTACCACCAAAAAATACAAAAAAAAAAAACACCAAAAAAAAAAAAAAAAAAAGAATATCCAAATAAATAATAAATATGTGAAAATTGTTAATATCACAATCATTAAGGAAATACAAATCAAAATTACAATGTGCTGTTAGTACATACCTACCAGAATGGCAAAAATGAAAATACTGTTTGATGAAGATGGAGAAGAACCAAAGCTTTTATCCTCTGTGGACACAGAAAATGGTAAATTTTCAATTGCTACACCCCCTTTGAAAACCTGTTTAGCAATATGCACTAAAGCTGAAATATGCCTACTTTGTGACCCAGCAATTCCACTCAGGAATTTTCCAGTGATAGGTGTATGTACACCAAAGTATTAACAGATAGAAAAATTAGAAGTTGATGGGCAGTTTAAAAGGGACCAGGCCCAAGATAGAGTCAGAACAGAACTGAGACAAATCAAGCTTGTGATTAAGGACTAAGTGGATAGAAAGTGGGCCCCAAGATGGATGCATAATGGCTAGGGCTGCAAGCCTGCCCAGAGATAACAGCACTAATGCTTTGCTGTAACTAGCACTAGTAGAGACAGCTAAGTTTGATAGAAATGTTAAAAAGGGAACTAGAAATTAATAGTAGGTAGAAATTAGCAGGGAGACAGTGTAGAGGATGGGAACATATCACAACTCTGGCTTGAGGGGCATATGTTGAAGCCTAGGCCTCGAGATAATGACGCAGTGACCAGGCCTAATGTTAGACAATGTGAGCAAACAGAGTGGGCAAACAATTTATGTTGATTAATCCCAGAAAGCTGTGGTAGATTGTGTATGGTAGGGTGATGGATAATCCCACCAAGCCTGCACCTTTAGTTCCACTGAATTTCAGGCTGGTTTCTGGGATTGAGGCTGGAACCTGATTTGTTCAGCCTATAGCATTCCACTCTGTGCCTCCTGTTGGCTTGAACTCAGCTCCTTGACTTCCTGCTGACTTGAGCTCAGTTCCACATCACCCTGACACTGGGAGCTCGAAGTCCATTGTAGTTTGAGACACACTATGCCCATATTGGGACTTCACTGTATAAACTGCACCTGACAAAGGCCCTTGTAGTAACCCGCTTTCAGGATCCCTTTTGTCTCTCGGGAGCTATCAATAAAGTTTTCCCACTCTTAACTTTCACTGTCTATTGGAATTTAAGAGTAGGAAACTCATTTTTCAATATTTGGGGGACGTGATTTTTGAATCTACCACATTGGGGGTTACATTTTTCCTATATCAGCACCATCTGTTCCGGGAAGCCTAAGCATTGTAACAAACGTAGAAACAAAGCAATAAACACATAGAAAGGTGACTAGAGCACTCTAGCCCTCACTCCTATCCTTCCTAGAAATGCTTTGCTCTTCTCCCTACCATATACCCTTGCTACATACTTTGCTTTTCTATTAGATAAATATTGGCTAAGTAACTGTGCTTGAAATAGTTTGATGCAAGATAACCTGTGATGTGATTTTATTGTATAAAAATCTCCTAGACATTGAGCCTCAGTGGCAACACACTTTCAGGACCTTTCCTTCCTCAGGGGTTTTCTCTTAATAAAACTTTTCCTACCCTTACCCTCCTTGTCCTCAACTCCATTTTTCAATGTCCTAAGACAAACTTGACACATCCTCCAGGTTGGGAGTTCCTTTACTGTAATGTCATAGAGTCTTGCATTTTGGGTTAATAAAATACCATTCAGGGATTATGATTTTCATTTTTCTCTGCTTTTCTGCATAATAAAGCACCGTTATGTTATAATGTTGTTGTCCCTCTTCATTACAAAAAGTTACTTTAAATGAGTAAGTGGTTATTTGGGAGGTCTCATCTTGATTTATCGTATTAACTTTTTTTGTTTGATTGATTTGGTTTGGTTTTTCTGAGACAAGGTCTTGCTCTGTACTTCAGGGTGGCCTTGAACTCTCTAGCCCAAGCTGGCTTTGAACTCATGACGATCTTCCCGTGTGCCACCGCTCCTGGCTTCTTATTAACCTCTTGTGGCACTGGTCAATTACAGGTTGTTTTCTTTGTACTCTTGCAAGCAAGTCTGAACTAGTGGAATAGGAGAATTTTAACCATTTTAAGGTATGAATATCTTTAATGGATCATCTTGTCCTTTGCAAGTAGGTCTCCAACTTTACTAACACTGGCCATCTATATAGGAGATAATATTTACTTAGACAAATGTATAAACATGTTCAGACAGTAGCACTTTTAAAGTTTCATCTTTGTTTGCCTGTCAGCTGTGAGTAGCTTATTACAGCCTTCTCTTTGGGAGGACTTTCTAATTACTTTTTTTTTCTCCAATTACTAATTGACTTGCCATTCATCATCTGAGGGCAAAACCAAAAATACAAAGTCAAAAGCAATAAAAATGACTTTGAGTGTATGTGGCTGTTTCTTAAAAGCCATGGGAGGATTAGAACTAGATTCACATGTTAACACTAATGCAATTATTACAAAAGGACATTATGGCACTAAAAAAGCACAAAAAAACCCTGAGAGAGTGAGAGGGGTTTCAGAAGTTTGCTCTTTACAGAGATGGTTGATTTCAGAGAATTGTAATATGCCCTCCTTAAACTTTTCCCTTTCTCTAAAAATGTTAGAAAAGCACAGCTATTTTAAACCTTTAATCATTTACCAAATTCCCTAATCTCTAGGAACATGCTCCCTTTTAACAATAATTCCTTCCTGCGACAGACTTGTCAGTGTTGGGGGCCAGCTCAAGTCTCACTTTCAAAGACAGGCAATGTTGAGTCAAAAATTTTAATTTAAACCAAGAGAGCAACACTTCCAACAGGAGTAAGTGTGACTGCTACCCCCCCCCCCAAAAGTGGACAGTCTGGTCCGACCTTGCAGTCACTTTGCAGTAAGCAGCTACTTGCTTTAGAACAGGAATGCCCTGACATTAAAAATTCAACGGGGCTTGATAGGGAGGCTTTCTCTACTCTTTGCTTTCAAAATAAAAGACCTGATGTCATCTTCAAAATCATTTAACTCCTTTAAAATATACCCTTAAATACTGAGAATCTTTTGATCCTCAAGACATGTTTTAAAAGCCACTAAAAAAGAGACACTTAATCTGCACCCACATGTGGCTTGACTATCCACTTAAAAAAAAAAAAAAGGGTATGGAGAAAAATATGTTCTGGTAAGAGATCAAATAGCATGAGCTTTCCCTGTATTCTGACATTCCTTGTCTTAAGGGACGATCCTGACTTGTGTGTATGTATGTATGTATTTTATGTATTTGGTAGAGGTTCTCACTACAGTTTGGACTCATAGTAATTCTCATATTTTCAGCCTCCCTAGCTCTGGGATTACAGATGTGTGCCATCACACCCAGTCTCAGAGGCAGGCTCAGCCTGTCCTGTGGTGGGGCTGGTGTGGCATTGGCGGGGATCGAACCCTGGTGCCCGCACTTAAGCAGGCGCTTAGTCTGCTAAACTATCTCGCTGGCCTCTGACTTGTGTTTAAAATGTGATATAAACAAAAAGAAAACTGATACCTTTGCCCAACAAATCTGACGTGTTTACTATCACTGCGTCTGAGGCTTCTCTGCGCCGCCGCCACCTACTGGGTTCTGAGACTCAAGCTCCTAAACCACGCCTATTTAAAGCTTCTACTGGGTTACATCTTTCTTTACCTGACTGCACTAACCCTCAACAGGTGTCATATCCTTCACAAAAAGCTGGGAGTAAATTTGGCCCTGTGGATATCATTCCCTCTCAGTAAACCCAAACAAATTAAACAGGATTTGGGAGTTTTCAGACAATCCTGATAAATAACATTAAACTCTTTAGAAGACTCACCCAAACTTATAAATTGGCCAGAAAAGATCTTGCTTTTAAATCAGATCCTGACTCCTAGCAAAAAACAAACAGCATTTTTTTTTTTTCCCAGAACCGGAGATTGAACTCAGGCCCTTGAGCTTGCCAGGGAAGTGCTTATTCCACTGAGCCATCTCCAGCACAGGATCCTGAGTTCACTCCCCAGTACTACCAAAAAAAAAAAAAGAGAAAGAACAAACAGCATCACAGGCTGCTATAGCCCTGAGGGATGAGCTACATCTAGTTGACTACAAAAGACTAGAGGATTTATACCCAGGAGAACAACAGATGCCTGTAGGAGCTG